TTCGTGCTCTTATTTTACCAGTTCCGAATACCCATTTTAAACAATATTATTAATTCACTCTTCGATGTTTTCTTCATTGTAAACGTGACTTATTCTACCCCCGCTTGAAAAACAGGAAGAAACGGTATATAGTAATGGGATGTTAGTCCATCCGTCCGTCTGTACGTCCGTCCGTCCGTCTAGCTGTACGTCCGTCCGTCTGATATGCTCTGGGGTATCCATTTCTTATCCGCAACCCCTCTTCTACCACTGAATGAAGGTTAATGAGGCTTCACAGAATTTAATGAGTCTTTCACAGAATCTTTGTTTAACAGTGCCAAAGTGCTCCTATTTTATTTTTGGATCTGGTACATAATTTGGGCTCCCTGAGAAAAACATAGATACTGCCATTCTTTGTAATATTGAAAAGTATATCCATCTCTTGTCCGCAATTCCTCCTATACGACTGAAAAAAATTTAATGATACTTTCACATATTCTTTATTGCATTGTGACAATTTGACCTATTATTCTACTTTTTGATCTGACATTTAGAGAGTAAAACATGGACTTTGTCTTAAATAATCATAAAGGAGGCGTGGGGTATCATAAAATGAGCTCAATGCACAGAGTACCTCTAGTTTCTCTTCAACCTTTGGAAACACAAATAATTTGTTGGTAAGCAATTAATTTAACTTTTCTTAGGCATGCCAATGGATAACGTCTGGGACGTATATCTTTTAATTTAGGGTTGAATTGAATAAGAATCTCTAGGGTATCCGGAACCCGTCGGCTTATCCGTAACTGGTAAAATGGACACCTATGGTAACTTGCGAAATAATTTTTTTTGAGGGAAGGCTGAACTTTTATGAAACAATATTTAATTCCACAAGTCATCGAACTACCTTGACAAAACACTTAGATTTTGAAATAATTCCTAGTATAATTGTAGCACCGTCGAATCGGTTTCTTATTCGGAACTGGCCAAATAACTGTATAAAGTTTTCGCTGTAAATTTGTGCGTTGGGGGGGGGTGTTAAAATTTAGAGGCTGAATTTTGTGGAATTGTACGTAATATCATACTTAGATCTTGTTGTTTTCCATTGTTTCCTTATTTAATTTGAAACATTATAGAAAACGCTGCTGACTGGTTAATTGTCATGTATGGAAGATTTTGATATTCGGTTCCTTCATTTAAAAATGAGATACTATATGATAAATAAACCATAGGACAAAATTATGCTGCAGCTGAATCTACCAAACTCTATTTTAAATTTTATTACACCTGCATATGGTGTTTTATTCTCCAAAGTTATTCGATTTCATTCAAGAGCACTAAATGAGTAGAATCTATTTTTAAACCAAGACAGGCTTCTGACGAATAAGTTGATGTTACATATAGATACCTCTTTTTAAGACAACATTTAATACAATAGTCGATAAAAATATGCAGCAATTGTTCTTTCGCTAAAGGCTCGATTTTTTTAAGCGAAAGCTGTGGGTCCTTCGAATGAAACCAAAAAAACGGCTCCCCGTGTGACGACAGATGTTGGCACAATAAAAATTCCTCACTGCTCAATGGCCTTGAGTGCCGAATACAGGTAGAAATTTGAAGCCCTTTACCTAGCTGTTTATGATTGAGTGACAAATTTTCGAATGGGACGTAAAACAAAATACACTCAATAACAATCGTAAATTCTCTTGTGTGTTGATGACCTCGTATACATACAAATTTAACTTGTCATTGGGTTGCATTCTGGTTGACGTGTTTCATACTCTTATGTCTCTCTTTATATACTAATTATGACTACGGATTTAGCGTATATATATCAGCACATGGATCACTGTGAGTATGTCTATACAACGGGAAATGTCTACTCAACCCTCCCAGACACCCGATCCTACCTTTAAAGTCTCAAGTACATTATGTTACAATTACAAGTTCTTGTTTTATGTTCACTTCATATATTTTTATTATTTTTGTTTATAGTTTTTTTTTCGTTCAATCACATTTCCTGTAATTCAATTTGGCTACATGTACGTTTGAATTTCATAAAAAAAATCACTTTAACACAAATAAGAATAAAAACTTGGTTATTTATTAGTATAATTTTGTAATATGAGAACAAAATACCAGTGAGATTGATTACTGATCCTGATCTTTTCATTCTATGAATACTTTAATTGCCATTCCCCAATACATTTCTCATCTGAAATCCATTTTCCACCAGCTATTCAACAATCTTGTGGAGGTTTATCAATATTTATCAATGAAACTGTAGAAGGAATCAAAATAAGCTGTGCACAATAGTTTCTATTCCCGATGTTTTGGAGCAGGAGATGGAAGGATTGGTTGTAAAGTACAGAAATGCAGGAAGCTGAGTCGTATAAAATAAAAAAAATTTTCATCCTACGATAAACAACTTTATTAATCATAATCCCTAAATACTAATTTGTACATAGAATTTCATTGGGGACCTATCTCTGGAAGCGACCAGTTACAGCGCTAAGAAAAATGAGAAAAAAACAAGATATGTTTGTAAAACACTGATGCCCCATATGGCAACATAGCGGAGATTGAACTTTTCTTAAATGCAAATCAAATATATGCTGGTATTCGAAATTAGGTCTTTTACAAGAAATACAATTGTGAAATATGAAAGCCATAGCTGGCCAAGATTAAGTTTTTTAAAAAGTAGGTCATACCCCAAATTTAAGATCAAAGAGTCACAGTTGTTGGTATCCTATGAAATGTCTTGTCACAAGGATTACATATGTGAAGTATGAAAGCCTTAGCCCTAAAAAAGTTATGATCAAGGTCTGTTTTTAAAGAGTGAGTCAAACTCCAAGATCAAAAGGTAAAAGTTGTTGGTGTTCATTGAAAGGTATTCTCACAAGGATTACATATGTAAAGTATGAAATCCCTAGCTTTTTGCGTTCAAAAGTTAAGACCAAGGTTATAGAACTTTTTTTTAAAATACTTAAATCTCCAATGGCAGGGTCAAAAGTTCAAAGTTGTTGGTGTTCAATTTAAGGTCTTGTTACAAATAATATATATGTAAAGTATGAAAGTCCTTGCTTTAATTGTTCAAAAGTTATGGCCAAGGCCAATGTTTTTAAAAGTAGGTCAAACTCCAAGGTCAAAGGGTCAAAGTTCTTGGTATCAAATAATAGGTCCTTCACAAGAATTAAATATGTGAAGTATAAAAGCCCTAGATATTACCTTTCAAAATTCATGGTTAAGGTTTGTATTTAATAAGTAGGTCAAACTCCAAGGTCAAATGGTCAAAGTTCTTGGTATCGTATGAAAGGTCTTTTTACAAGGATTAACATATGTGAAGTATGAAAGCCTTAACCTTTACCGTTCAAAAGTTATGGCTAAAGTTAAAGTTTTTTATAAGTACTTAAATCTTCAAGGTCAAGATGTCAAAGTTGTTGTATCCAATGAAAGGTCTCACATACACATGTGAAATATGAAAGTCATAGCTCCACTACATCAAAAGATATGGGCAACGTTAAAAGTTTTGCGGACAAACAGACAGACAGACAAACACGATAAAAACTATATACCCCCAAATCTTCGATTAAGGAGCATAAAAATAGGTTTGTTTTTCGAGAAAAAGCACATCGAACATAGGTAATAAACACCTCCCACATAAGATGAGTTACCATTAGACTGACCCGAAAGTCTTGTTTGTTTATTTGTATGTTGTTTAACGTCCCTGTAGGGACTTTTTCACTTATATGGAGACGCCACCACTTGTCGGCAGAGAGCTGCAGTAATAAAAAATGGAATTCGTGAATTTACTTGCCTTATTATTGATCATTTGCAAAATTATTTTGTTAAAAACATTCTGATTGTACACAAAAGTACTCAAAGTTGACATTAAAAAAGATGCTTCAGTTTCTGATTGACGATATCTGTGTTGTTTTTGGAGACCATGTCTTCCAACAATTGCATCCCCCGTTATTAGCAGTCATATTTTTGTATTCATATGAAGCAGAATTTGTGCAAAATGTAATGCGTGAAAAGAAAAAAATACTTGCTGTAGCCTTCAAATCGACATTTAGATATATCGACGACTTATTGTCAGTTAGTAATGGTAATTTCCATTATTATGTCGATAAGATTTATCCTGGTGAGCTTGAGATAAAAGATACATGTACCACAGAGTGGGATACATCTGTTTCATATTTGGATGTTTTACTTGAAAAAGACATTAATGGTAATGGTAATGGCAAGCTCTATGATAAACGTGATGACTTTAACTTTTCTATCCTCAATTTCCCTTGTTAATGCAGCAATATACCTTCATCACCTACATACGGAGTTAATATCTCTCAGATGATTCGATACGCAAGAGCTTGTTCTACGTACGAACAATTTCTAAAACGAGGTAAATTGTTGACAAACAAGTTGATGAAACAAGAATATTAGCAGTCTAGTTTAAAGTCATCATTTCGTAAGTTCTATGGTCGATATAATGACCTCGTCAGCAAATTTGCAATTTATCATATAGTCAAATGCTGACTGATGTTTTTCATACTAATTGTTAGCCCATTATTTATAAACTGAATTGACGGCGGATTTTTCCGTTATTTCCTGATTATGACAAGGAGCACACGGCGGGTGTGATCGGTCGGAAGGAGAAGCTAACTTCTCCATGGCAGTTGATCCCACCTCAGATGTTTTGAAGGTCGGTGTTTGCTCTGCTCCTATTTTATATTGTCTTATGGAAATTTGATCTTGGAATACTGTTCGTTATCTCCATATTTGTAATCGCAAAGATGGTGTTCTTTAATTAAATATTTTTTCCAAGGAGTTTAAAATCCATAGAAGAACATTTCTTTAAGATAAATAAATCAAAATGACTCAGACCTGGTCAAATATACTAACATGGACATTAAAAAGTCTTTCTTCTATATTTAAAAAAGAAGAAGTAACGATTATTTTCTGTTTTACATGTAACTCTGAAAAAATACCTATCTTGAAGATTTTGCATCGGTAAAAATATCACAAAATAATAATTCGTAATTTATAGAAGAAATCAAATTGTCGACAAAATCACCCTGGAGAATCTCTTAATTGCTGGCTGAGCAATTCCTCCGAGATTTTAAACGCTCTGTTTATAAAATAATGCAACTGTAAGTGCACATTCCGAATGTTTGTTTAAATACAAAATTTTATATCGAAATAATTATATAAACTTATTCAATTTATAGTCAATCCAGGCACAAGGATGATTCAAAATAGTCGGAATTTGCAGGATTGAGGTTCTTGTGTTTTGTCCACATGTTTTCAGTTTCATGAATAAATCAAAATGTTCGGACTTTGCAGTTTGTGTTATGTTTCTTACTCCATTTGTCTAACATTTCATATATTGGCACCTTGTAATGATTTGTCTGTATAGACAACCACGGGAACCTCAGAGTGATGAACAACGTAATCACTAACACTTCCTAACACCGTCCTCCTCACTACACCCAACCCCCGACTGCCTGTGATGATCAACGAGGCATCGATATCTTTGGCTCTTTTTACAATTTCGTGTCCCACATCACCAAATAACTTGTTAACTTCTCCTTTAATCTACAATGCAAATCATACAGAATATTAATTGGGTTGGGAGTCAACAATATTAAACGCACTCGTGTACTCTACTGTATAAGGCCCCAAATGCATGTACGATGTTAAATTAATTCTTTTTTTTTAAAAAGTAATTTCATGAAATACTGAAATGTCTAATGCTTCTTGAGGGAGTGGGATTTGATTGTCATAAAATTAATTTTTCTTAGTTGTATCATGGTTATCACATCTTTCGAAATTTCACAATTTCTAAAACGAGGTAAATTATTGACAAGCAAAATGATGAAACAAAAATATCAGCAGTCTCGTTTAAATTCATTTCGTAAGTTCTATGGTCGATACAATGACCTGGTCCGCAAATACAATTTATCATTGAGTCACATGCTGACTGACGTTTTTCATACTAATTGTAAGGCCATAATTTATATACTGAATTGACGACGGATATTTCCGTTATTTCCCAATCATGAAAAGGGGCACACGGCGGGTGTGACCGGTCAGCAGGGGATGCTCACTCCTCTATGGCACCTGATCCCACCTCTGATGTTTCGGAGGTCCGTATTTTCTCTGCTCCTATTTTGTATTGTTTTATGGACTTTGATATTGAGTACTTTTCGTTGTCTCCATATCCTTCTCTTTGGTAAATTTTAAATTCTAGAATCAAGATATGGGTATTGAATGGTTTATCAATTAAAAATAGTACTTTTTTTATTTATATATTGACAAAATAAATCCAATTTTACTAGCTTCAGTTGATAATACCCAACAGTAATCCGACAAACAGAACATTTTCATTTTTTCCATGGGCAACTTCCCTTTTTCACATAACATAATTCAAACATCACCTGTTAATGGTGTATAAGTCCCCAACTTATTCCATAAGCAAGAGAATGCTTTGAACATGATAAATTTTTCGATCGAAACAATAACATTGTGTATCAAAAACGTTGATGTTACATGGATTGCAATAATCCTGTTTGAAAACTCTAGAGTTGCCACGACCTCGTTTGCAAATACAACCTATCTCCGCATGTTTTTTTTTTTTTGTTTTGGTCTGAAATTTTACATTTAGGTCATTGCCCGTAAAAGCATTTTACTGTCCACTTAAAGGATACATGTACATAGAGCTCATAGCGGCTGCATGTGACAGTCAAAAACAAGGATACTCACTCTTTCTAGGCAAATAAAATCAACAATCTGAAAAAGCAAAAAGCTCTCGCTCTCTCTCTCTCTCTCAGGTTATAAACTCTAATCTAAGAACACCTTGTGGTGTATTGATGGAGATATGTGCTACTAACTCTGTTGTCCTGGATGTACGCTTCCATTTTATTTATCAATTCTTTGGCTTTCGTTTCCTTTTCTTGGTGTTCAAGAACGAAAAAGTGTTGGTCAGTTGGTATAATTGGGTCTGTGAGTTGATTTGAAAAAAAATGCAAACGTGTTTAAATATTCATGGCTTTAAAGAATTTGTTATAATTGGACTTAAATCTGTCCAAGAAGTTGACAATTCTGAGATGACATGAACTACGAAGTTGACATTAGAATATAATAGTAACGCATATTACTACTTTCATTTTGAAACTCATTTGCATATCTACATTAACGCACTAAAAAGGTATACAAATTAACAAATTGAAAGAAGAGGTTCACTTATATCATTAATTTAGATCTTTCACTAACCTTTATTTTCAAAACTGTACCTATTGTCTGTCACGTGGACAATATATAATCTATTATCTTCTTTGTGAAGGTTTTGCATGTACCCTGAGGAAAAGGTAATTAAGACTTTTTTACGTTTCATATTTTATATTGAAAACTATGTACACACGTTTGATGATTCATACTTACATTCCAAAGCTCGCCTGGCAATTTCACTTCCATCAGTTGCTATCAACACCTTCATTTTGCCTTTTTAAAACAATCCAATACAAGCACTAAAATATAATTGTCAGAGAAATCATTCAAGTTTGTCAGAATTTATTTTCCTGACCTATATTGCGTTTTAAACTTCTGACTACGTTCTATTACTTTAGGGCATTCACATAACGATCATATGAGAATTCATTCTCGGTCGACACAGTAGTGTTTTAAGTGCGATTAAAATTATGAATGAATCTCATCAACAGAGTAACTAATATTACAGTTAAGATTACAATCCATGGTAGTCCTTAATTATAGTTTCATATAATTAAAATCTAAAGTATAATAACTAAGATGAATATTAATTGTAGTCATTTGATTATTGAAAATGCACAATATCCTTTATTTTAAACTTTGAAAAATGAGAATTACCGTTGAAAAGCTAGGAAATAATTGTGCGGGTTTTATGATGTTAATCTGTGCATACAGTCCAACACTACATTGAGTCAAATGCTGACTGACGTTTTTCATACCTGATCCCACCTCTGATGTTTTGGAGGTCCGTCTTTGCTCTGCTCCTATTTTGTATTGTCTTACGGACTTTTGATCGTGAATATTGTTCGTTATCTCCACATGTTACAATTATATAACTTTAAACCAATAAAGTACAATAATTTAAATTACTAGATTAAATTATTCTCAATAGATTAAAATACCTAGTCTTAAAAAGACTACATAGATTTTGCCAATGAATCTGAGGCAGGAGTAATTTCAAATTGTGTTCTTTCATATTTGACTTTGTAGGATATTTTTTTAATTACTTTAAATTTTTTTTCAGAAATATCGTTGTAGAGTTTAAGAAAAATGAATAATTTTATGTGTGTACAATACAAATGAGAGAAGTGGCAGAAAACAATAAAACACTTAAAGTCATGTTTTATTTTATAACAAAATATATGATGTAACAATCGAAGTTGATGTCTGTTGGTTTTTAATGTTTGTAAACCATAACGGGGACTTCAGAGTGATGTATGACAAAGTCACTGACGCTTCCTAACACTGTCCGCCTGATGAGACCTAAGCCACGACTTCCTGATATTAGCAAATCTGCCTGAATTTCCTGTGCCTTTTTAACAATCAGTTCTCCGGGGTTTCCAAAAAGTCGAATAACTTCACCCTCAATCTATTCATGAAACAGAAAAAAGTGTAAAACGAAAAATAAATAAAAAGGCAAGTACATTGTATAAAAAAATGTGCTGGTTTACTTTGATATTAAATTTGGTTTCCATGTTTTTGAAATTTGTTTCACTTACTTTCCTAAAAATTTGATAGTCACAAATAAAGTGATAGTTAATTTTTTTTATTACTTGGTTCTTAGTGAGGAAGTCCCCCATTTCATCCATTAAAGCCCTGGCCTTGTGTTCTTCTTCCTGATACGCTAACTGGATTAACTCGGGATCAGCTGGTATCACAGATGCTGCAATATACAACCTAAGTCAATGACTCAGAAAAATACCAATCCAGGTGTACACGACAGATTCTCAAGTAAATTTTTCCTCGGTATATGATAATTCCTTAACTTTGAAACATTCATATTGACATACATTTATAATAGGACATTGAAACATTTATGTTCCTCTCTGTATGTGAATATGTGTATGTTCTAAAGAACTTTTGTTGAAAATTACATCTATACTCACTGTTATAAGCAAAGTTACGGAGATGATCCGTCACATGGACAATGATGATCTTATTTTCTCTCAAGTGAATGCGTTTCATGTACCCTTAAATGTTAAAAAAATAGATTTGAAAGTCTCATATATAAGTTAGATAGCATTAGTTTAATGCGTTTATAAAAATGCAATACGTAATCGCAAAATAGCTAAAATTTTCTGTTGACAAGTTGAAATGTTCAGGATATTTCTTATTATGCATACGTAATCGTGTTAAATATATTGAATCTCTCGGTATTGTAGTAATATTACTCACACTCCAAGGCATCTCTAGAAAATTTACTTCCATCCACAGCTATCAGAACCTTCATTATTGATTCTCAGAAGACGATAAAGCTGATTTGTTATGTATGTTACCTCACTGTCACAAACATATTATTAAACCGACAAGATAAAGTTCATTTACACGCTCCTATCAAGTAAAATAAATATGTTAGAAGGTTTCTGAATCATGTTATGTTGACAGAAGATTAGGTATTGAATGTTTTAGTACCTAGACACGTAAAGTGTGTGTACTTGCCTTGGGTTTTTCTTGAATTATATTTTATCTCCTACTCTTAGTTTTTGGGTTAATATGTTATCAACTTTCTTTTCTGTTCATTCATGCGCAAATTGTTATGTGAATGTGATCTAGGTTACAAAAATATTTCCTGTTGAATATGAATATTACGGTCTTAAAAATTTAGATGTATACTTATAGGTCAAACCTATTTTGACTAATATAAGAGGGCAAAGCCTGAAAATATTGGCATCATGACCTAAGATATAGTGCCCTTCTTTTACTTTTTTTTTTTTAATCAGTTTATACCTGTCTAACGATCCACATATTTTCCAGAATATAAAGAGGAACATATGTCTGTATAAAGACAATCATTTTAAAAAATCATCTAACCCGTATCTACAGTAGTAATTTTCTGTTAATTATTTTTATTTTCAATGCAGAAGCTAAAATCTTATCTTTGTAATTAATGTTTACTTTGTGTGACACTTAAGATTGCTATTTCCAGCAGTCCTTATTGATTATTACACTACGTATTCCGTGGTGTTGTTTTTCGAATAGTCAGAACAAAATACAGTCCTTTCACTCTCTAATAGCTTTTATAAGCTCTGGCTTTTTAGGAAAGTATTTTCATTAACGAACGAGACTAGGAAGAGTTTTATACTTAAATCCATCCTCATTTACGTACTTTAGACAAAATCAGGCCAAAAGGTTTCGAATCGATTAAAACATTTTGATTAAAAAGGTTTGAATTTCTTATTGACCATATCAGTGTAGTCTTTTGAGATCAAGTCTTCCAACAATTCGCCGAAATTCCCTTGAGTACAAATTTCTCCCCTTATAAGTATACTTTTTTTTTGTATTTGTTTATAAGCTGAACTTATTTAAAAAGCATAAACACAGGAAGTAGGAAACGTTTGCTGTTGCTTTCATCTTGATATTCATATATATCGACAGCGTATTATCAATTTACAATATTTACTTTTACCTAGGCAAGATATTGACAAAAAAGTTGATGAAACAAGGATATCAACAGTCTTATTTCATGACATCATAATACAAGTTCTTTGATCGATACGATGACCTTGTCATGAAATACTCTCATCAATAAGTTCAATGCTGAGTGATCTTTTTCATTCTAATTGTCCGGTCACTACGTGCTCAATTGTCCACGGATTTTTTCCCCATTTCTCCGATCATGACAAGGAGTACAAGTGGTAGTAACTGTTTCACATGGGATGCTGATTCCTCCATGGAAACTGATCCCACCTCCGATGTTTTAGATGTCTGTTCTGCTCACTATTGGATTGTTCAGTAGACCTTTTAAGTTTTAGTACTGTTTGTTATCTCCACTAATGTTATATATGGCGAATCTGAGCTAAAAAGAGAGATTAAGTGTAGATTTAAATGATATTTGTCATATACGTTCAAATTAAAATTTTCACCGATTTTGAATGTTATTACAGTGTATACAAAATTTCTACTTAAAATAAATGTGATGACAAAATTCATTTCATTTATATGCCTTCATGGTATTTTTCTTCTTAATGGGTAGACCAATATTTTAGATCTATCTTTTTAAGGAAAATAACGTTCATAATCTTCTTATCATAAACAATATTTGGATTTACATGATTAATCTGTTTCATAGTCTTAATTTTAGATTTATCAATCTAGTCTGACGGAAAACAAAAGCAAATATATCAAGTTCAGGAAAAGTGTGCAAACCTAATAAACTTTTATACGGGCCAACTTCACTTTAAGCGGAAATCCTAGTCCCGTGGTTTCCACTCAAAAACCTCCTGTAGGATGAAATGATATGATTATAAAATTATTCCGGACATTCAACATTCAAGCCTGTAAAAAAATGATTAAAAAGGCAAGCAAAGGGAAGCGAACGAATTGAAAATTTTGTCATCAGTTTGATATTCGTTATCGCCAAACCCAAATACTAAAATGAAATGGTGATGAAATCAATTGTCCTTTTTTCTCAACGTCAAGTAAGAATTGAATAAACGTACAATACAAGTGTGACTTATTGCCAAACATAATCTATAACCGATAACTCCACAAAACTTATTACAACAAACAGATTGACATAAGTTGTGCTTCTTACAATCTGCATTCACTGGTATGCGCCATAAGCATTATCGATATGCTTTCGCACAATGCATTTTTATTTTTACTTCACTGTATTTATCTTATAAACTTTTATTTCAAATCCGCATCCTTTTTTCTCCGGGTTTACAGTTTAGATATCGGTTACGGGTGTGTGCGTATCTTTTCGGTCAATTTAAAATTAAAGGATCTGCAATTCATGCTATTGCTTGTGGTATAAAATAACCAGAAGTCTCTGTCGAGACTGAAGCTCTACTGGTTTGTACTTATAGCAAAGGAAGAGAAAAGTACTTAAGCAGTTGGGAATTGAAACTTTTCTACAGCAATAAAATAATGATCCTTGATTAAGTCTCTTTATGTTCTTAGTGTAGTCTACTTGCATGCCACATTATATTATAATCACACTAAAACTGTATTTGGAGTAGCATTTGAGAGTATTTAACAGAAATTTCTATTTTTAGTAACTGTGGCAACACCGTTCATTGAAGTGAAAAACTGATACACAGAATTATGTATCTTAGTGTAGTCTACTTGTGTGCCATGTTATATTGAAATCAGACCAAAACTGTAGGAGGAGTAGCATTTTTAAAGAATTTCAGAAATTTCTATTTTTAGTAACCACGTCAACACCATTCATTGAAATCAAAAACCGATAAACAGATTAATGTACCTTAGTGTAGTCTACTTGTGTGCCAAGTTATATTGAAATCAGACCAAAACTGTAGGAGGAGTAGCATTTTGAATGAATTTCACAGAAATTTCTATTTTTAGTAACCATGGCAACACTGTTCATCAAAATCAAAAACCGATACAAAGAATTATGTATCTCAGTGTAGTCTACTTGTGTGCCAAGTTATATTGAAATCAGACCAAAACTGTAGGAGGAGTAGCATTTTGAAAGAATTTCACAGAAATTTCTATTTTTAGTAACAACGTCAACACCGTTCATCGAAATAAAAAACCGATAAACAGAATTATGTATCATAGTGTATGATACTTGTGTGCCAAGTTATATTGAAATCAGACTAAAACTGTAGGAGGAGTAGAATTTTGAAAGAATTTCACAGAAATTTCTATTTTTAGTAACAACATCAACACCATTCATCGAAATCAAAAATCGATACACAGAATTATGTATCTTAGTGTAGTCTACTTGTGTGCCAAGTTATATTGAAATCAGACCAAAACTGTAGGAGGAGTAGCATTTTGAAAGAATTTCACATAAATTTCTATTTTTAGTAACCATGGCAACACCGTTCATCGAAATCAAAAACCGATACACAGAATTATGTATCTTAGTGTAGTCTACTTGTGTGCCAAGTTATATTGAAATCAGACCAAAACTGTAGGAGGAGTAGCATTTTGAAAAATTGTTTACAGACAGACAGACAGACAGACGGACGGACGACGGACGCATTACTATCGCATAAGCTCTTCTGGTCTCTGACCAGTAGAGCTAAAAATCGCAGATAAATATTTGAATTTGATCTTAAAGACTATGGTTTGCCAAAAGTTTTTTTTTTCGCAATTAGAAATTGAAACCAATGAAATATAGAAATAAATAGTATTCAAGCTCCATTCGAACAGTACAAATCAGGAGCAGAGCAAACACGGACCTTTGACATATCAGACGTGGGATCAGGTGCCATGGGGGAGTGAGCATCCATGCCGACAAGTAACACATGCAGCGTGCTCCTTGTCATGATCGGGAAATAACTGAAAAAAGCGTAGACAACTCTGTGTGTAAATAATTGCCTAACAATTAGTAGGAAAATATCCATCGGAAATTGACTTTAAAATAAAGTATGCTCCTTATCATGATCGGGAAACAGATCGGAAAACCTGGAAGCAAATGGCATAACAATTTGAATGAAAAAAACGCCATTTAGCATTTGACTACATGATATACTTGAGTAATGTTTTCATTGTATTTGCTGAAAAGGCCATTGTATCGACCAAATAACTTTCGAAATGATGACTTTACACAAAAGTGTGGCTATTATTGTTTTAACATTTTTTGTCAATAATTTATGTCATTCTAGAAATTGTTCGTAGGCGTAGAGCATGCTCTTGACTATTGAATCAACTGTGAGACATAAAACCTACATACCGGTGAAAAGGGTATATATTGCTATATAAGTTACAAAAAGTCGGCTTTTGATAAGTTGAAATCATCACAGTAATCATAAAGCACTAAAAATGACCCAAGAGAAAGCTAAATTTACTATTACGTATTTCAGCTATTGTATCCATTTCATTCCCGAAAAAATATGCCACAGAGTATGAATCGTCTGTTTTAGATCTAGATGTTTAACTTGAATCTCTTATTCAAGTATCTTGAATCTCTTATTCAAGGCAAACTAACAACAAATCTTTATGACTACGTGTAGTGTAATGATTTCAACTTTTTGTTTGTCAACTTTCCCAATTTATTCAGCAAATTTTATTATCAACTGCAGAAGTTTATGCCTCACAAGAGCACGTTTACTCTTGCAAACAATTTTACGAAATAAGCTGATGATATTCTTATTTCGGAAAATTTTTGAAATAATTGTTCATGTTCTGGTAATCACTTTGTTGAAAACATCGAATATACTCTGTAAAGATGGGAAAAAAATGTCAACAGAGAATTCTTTGAGTAGTTGTTTAAATCTGCTGATGTTCTACAATTCTGTTATGAATAATTAACAAGTGTTACACATTGTCTACATGATTTTTGTGTTAAAAATCAATTTTTCCCCCATAAAAAAATCACCTTTTTTTAACATGGAAATAAAATCATTATGTTTTATCTCTTCAAGGAAATGACGAGTCCGTTGG